TTAGGGCCTCCCCCTAACTGCTCCAGCCCTAATCTCCATTCCCCTTCCGCCCTCCTTGCTGCTCCCATCCCCCCTTCTCGCCTGTGCCACTTTAGGGCTCCCCCACACTGCTGGTGGTTTTTAATTTTTTGACATAGGGGGGCAATTACGGGCCTCCCATAGCTGCTGCCCGCCCCTAATTTGCCCACTTTCCAGGTCTCCCTCACACGACGCTGGTGTGTTCAATTTTTTGACATAGGGTGCTGGCAGATTACGGGCCTCCCATAGCTGCAGCCAGGCCCCTAATCTGCCATGGGCCCCTATACCGCCTCCTCATGCTGCTAGCCAAGTCCAGAGATCTGTCCATGGGTCCCTGTACGCCTCCCATTGCTGCTGTCTCCATCGCCACACTCTGCCATGTGCCACTTTCAGGTCTCCTCACACTCTGCTGGGGTGAGTTCCATTTTTTTGTCATAGGGTGCATTGGCAGATTACAGGCCTCCCATTGCTGCTGCCAGGCCCGTAAATCTGCCATGGGCCCCTGTACCGCCTCTTCATGCTGCGGGCCAGGTCCAGAGTGTGTCATGGGTCCCTGTAAACGGCCTCCCATTGCTGCTGTCTCCATCGTCACACTCTGCCATGTGCCACTTTCAGATCTCCTCACACTGCTGGTGTGTTACATTTTTTTTGTCATAGGGTGCTGGCAGATTACGGGCCTCCCATTGCTGCTGCCAGGCACGTAATCTGTCCATGGGTCCCCGTACCGACTCCTCATGCTGTGACGTCCATGCAACAAGTGGAATTCAACCCTCAAGTGCTGCACATATGTACCATTAGACCGCCTTTACGAACAGCAAAAGGCCATCACAGATATTTCCTGATGTTTTAAAAGCGGATAAAGGTACTCCCTGTGTAACTTAGATGTCAGCCATTGGCAGCTCATGCGTGACACCTGCGCTTGCTCAGGCCCTTGAAGGAGGCCACGCTATTCGTGAGTCGCCAGGACTATGGGATGAACGACGTCATTCCTCTGTTGCACGTCCTGGAACAAATGCTGTTAACAATGGCTGGTCAGGGTGCGGTAGACGTGGCGCACAGATCTCAACGCCACATGACCCCTGTGGGGGCAGGACAGGAAGAAGAGGAGGTAGGAGGAGGACATTGGTGCTCAGGAATTATTGAGTGAAATGGGTGGTTTTTCCACTCAGCGGACAGGAGTGGAGGAGCAGGAGCATCTGGTAGAGGAGGAGGAAGAGGAGACAGAGGACCCAGACGCACCGTGGCAGTATGCTGTGGAGATGGAGGCAGGGAGTCCCTCGCATTCCTTGGCACAAATGGCCCATAGCATGCTCGGTTGCTTGCGTAGCGACAGCCGAATAATAACCATCAGACAGAGGGATGACTTTTGGCTGTCCACCTTGTTGGACCCTCGCTACCGTTCAAAAATGGTGGCCTTTTTCACACCTGCTGAGAGGGAGGCCAAAATAACGTACTATAAAAAACCACCTATGTAGTCAGCTGGTCTCTGCCTGTCTGCGCCAACGTCCATCCTCAGACACTGTGGGCCCTGTGCGCTCGCGTTCCGCTGCCATGGCAGCAGGGGAGGGGTGGGGTGGTAGGAGCAGTGGCAGCTCCACCAGCAGCAGCTGCCTCAGTCTGCAGTCGATGATGAGTAGCTTTCTTCACCAGTGCAGTGAGGAAACTACTAACCAGCTGCAGCAGCAGCAGCAGCAGCATCAGGTGGACCTGGAGCAGGACCTCAAACAACAGGCTTAGGCCTACTTGGACAGCACCCTGCCAACCGAGGTAGACAATCCCCTTGACTACTGGGCAACGAAACTTGACCTTTGGCCCCAACTAGCTGAATTTGCCCTTGAAAGGCTGTCATGCCCGGCCAGTAGCGTGGCATCGGAGCGCGTGTTTAGTGCGGCAGGAGGTATTGCAACTCCGCGGAGGACATGACTGTCCACCCAAAGTGTGGAGATACTCACGTTTGTGAAAATGAATCAGGCGTGGATTAGTCTGGATTTCAAACCACCAGTTCCTGACACAACTGACTAAATCCGCCATGAATCATGCCCCAAACATGTGCCACTTTCAGGTCTCCTCACACTGCTGGTGTGTTCCATTTTTTGACATAGGGTGCTGGAAGATTACGGGCCTCCCATAGCTGCTGCCAGGCCCCTAATCTGCCATGGGCCCCTATACCGCCTCCTCATGCTGCTGCCAAGTCCAGAGTCTCTCATGGGTCCCTGTACGGCCTCCCATTGCTGCTGTCTCCATCGCCACACTCTGCCATGTGCCACTTTCAGGTCTCCTCACACTGCTGGTGTGTTCCATTTTTTGTCATAGGGTGCTGGCAGATTACGGGCCTCCCATAGCTGCTGCCAGGCCCCTAATCTGCCATGGGCCCCTATACCGCCTCCTCATGCTGCTGCCAGGTCCAGAGTCTCTCATGGGTCCCTGTACGGCCTCCCATTGCTGCTGTCTTCATCGCCACACTCTGCCATGTGCCACTTTCAGGTCTCCTCACACTGCTGGTGTGTTCCATTTTTTGTCATAGGGTGCTGACAGATTACGGGCCTCCCATAGCTGCTGCCAGGCCCCTAATCTGCCATGGGCCCCCGTACCGACTCCTCATGCTGCTGCCAGGCCCGTAATCTGTCATGGGCCCCTGTACCGCCTCCTCATGCTGCTGCCAGGTCCAGAGTGTGTCATGGGTCCCTGTACGGCCTCCCATTGCTGCTGTCTCCATCGCCACACTCTGCCATGTGCCACTTTCAGGTCTCCTCACACTGCTGGTGGTTTCCATTTTTGTCATAGGGTGCTATATGGCCTCCCATTGCTGCTGCCTCCACCGCCACACTGTGGCTCCACACTCTGGTTTTGGCCCCGTGACTGCCCAAATGAGTGAAGTGTGCGGTGATTCTAAGATCGACGGCACTCATCTGCATGTCATACTGACTGTCAGTATTATTTCTCTTCCCCAGCAGACTCCAAGGGCATTTAAATTAAAGGTACAGTGTTCTGCACTAATATAAAGGCTCTCTGAAGCCTAGAAACACCCCTTTTATAAGTTAAATTCGCAGCGAATATATTCGACTCGAATCAAAATTTTTCCACGAATTCGCCGAATCAGTCGAATCAAATTTTTGAATACTTCGCTCATCTCTAATTACCACCACGCATGTCATGATCATGCGTTTTTCATTAGTATTTACACTTTAATTTACTCGTTCACTTTGAGATTATCATTGTTATCATTGATGTTTATTACATATTATATGCATAACACATTTATCCTATACATGCATTTATAAGACAAGAATTGTTTTTTCCGTTTAATTCTAGCACTGCATCAATATTTATTTTTTTCCTCTGCTAAATATAAACAAATCACCAGAGCCTGCTTAGTCTTCAGGGAGTTTAGATCGATTATAACTAAGCCACTCTTTTTGATTTTAATGGCTTCCTAATGGCTGGAATAGTAGTGACTTATAAGCATAGGGGTTTGTTTACTGAACCTGGGAAGTGCAAAATCTGGTGCATCTGGGCATGGTAGCCAATCAGCTTCTAACTTCAGCTTGTTCAACTAAGCTTTGACTAAAAAAAAAAATGGAAGTTACGAAGGTAACATGTATACTTTACAATGTATCTTGTAATTTATTGCATCACATTATAATATAAATATGGAAAAAAAAAGTATAATTTGATTAAAAGTTTTCTCAATTTCATGGACAAATTAATTTTCATATTGTGATTTTGCATATATTGGTTACAGTGAGCTATTTCTATACAGGGCTGCACCAGATTTTCCATTCTCCAGTTTTAGTAAATAAACTCCATAGTGTCATTTTTGGTCCAGCATTCAAAAACAGGTCTAGATATATGACAAGGAACTATAGAGCAGTCAGCCTAACATCAATAGTTTGCAAAGTGTTTGAGAGAATGCTAAGGGACTCCATTGAAGAATTTGTTATGGAAAACGGTGTGACAATTAATATGGATTTATGAAAGTCTGCCGTTGTCATAGAAATCTGTAAACATACTATGAGGAAGTTAACAGTAGTTTATATCAGAAAAAGCAGTAGTCATATTTTATTATTATTATTTACCCCAGAAAGGAGATGCTTCAGAGGAAATATGATCACTATCTACAAATTAATAAATGGTGACTGTAAAGTTGACAACAACGTCTTTAAACCTAGGTCTGTGATGCGAACATGTTGTCACAATTTAAGGCTAGAGAAAGGAAGGTTTAAAATGAAATTTGTGAGAGGGATTTTTTTATAAGTAAGAGCAGTAAAAATGTGGAATTCTCTTCACCATATAGTGGTATTAGCTGAGAATATAGACAGATTCAAATATTTTCTAGATGTCTTACTCGATGAGCACAACATACAGGGATATGTACACTCTTAGAAAATAAAACAACACACACACAGGTTGGACTGGGTGAACCTGTGTCTTTTCCCAAACGTATCCACTATGTAAACTATGTAACTATGAGTCTGAATGGTATTCTGATCTATATAGAGGATTTAGCTGTGTTTTCAAAGACTATCTTGCATACTAACTGCTGTGTTGGTGCACCAATATGGGCTGAACTTTAAACCCAAAAAAATGCCATGAATTCAAATGAGACATTCACTTCCTATGTCACCGAGGCTTACTTTTCAATTCTGAGAACATAAAACCATACAGGAATGGAGGCTAAGAACTAAAAATAATATGCAGGAGCTGGGGATGTACTCTCACAGGTACAAGGAAGCCAGTACTGGGTCATCGCCTACCCCAATCAAAGCCTACATATGAACCCTACAGACTACAGCTCATTCAAACTGCAGCTGTTGACCTTGGTGCGGGCAGTCACTGAATGATTAGCTGAGTACCTAACAAGGTCAGATAAAGTTGATACTCCAGAGCAACACTAAACAGCCAATGTGGCGAAGTTTGAATTCTCCCTGCATTATCACCCTGGAAAGAGTAACAAAATGGCACACATCATACCGTGATATCCACTAGCCTTGCCTTGCTGATATGTGGATGAAGAACCTGAAGAGATAGAAATTCTTGGCTTGACTGGAAGAAGTCCTTAGAGTAGGCCTTAAGTGAACCTCATCTATGTGCTGGAAGAGTATAGCTGGGAAAATACACAGAGGTAGGATCCATCAGTTTCAATAAAGTTACAGTAGTGGCCCCCAGTCCCAGAGAAAGACCAAAGTTATTACCTGAAGCCAACAAACTGATGAGTAAGGGATCAGGGGCCATCTCATCCTAAGGTATGGTATACTCTACCACAAAATACTGTTCTCTCATGGTGCTCCTAGATACCTAAATTCAGGTGCCCTCCCTACACATTTTCCTCAGGATGAATTTAAATGGTCTGAAAACTTGCCATGGACAGCAAGTTCAAGTGGGATAGAGTGTTGCACTGTACCTATTTACTCATCATGCTTATATGCAGGTGCAAGACCCTTTAACTCCATTACCATGGGAATAATTTCCTCAACAGCTCAGAAAGGCTACACCCAATGAAGCATGATGCAAATTATCTGCAGCCAGTTGAATGGCCCTTCACTGTCCAAACAGGTGGGTGGGCTTTAAAGCATGAGACCCAGCTACTGTGGGGAGCTCAAGTTCTGGGAGGGAGGTAGCCCATTGTCCTTGCACCTTGAATCCCTGGAACTGCTCACCTGTGGTAACAGAACTACTGTAGACTTCACTGAGATGGATTCTGCTTGAGGATAATTGCAGGTAATGTTTGCGTTGTGAACTATTTTACTATTTTATTAAAGTAATGATTCTCAACTAGACTAGTTTTATAGAGTCTTAAAGAGACTATGCTATGCAGCAACATTGTACCCTGATTGTGCTACAAAAAACATTGCTGTGAAGAGTCCATGTCTGTACAGTTTATTTTGTATTATTCTGCAATGCTTGCATGCAGGGGCGGACTGACCATTTGGAAACTCGGGCACTGCCCGAGGGTCCAGGGTCAGTAGGGGGCCCCATGAGATGCCCCTGGTACCTTTTTCATAGGCTTTTTTGAGTTTGGGCAAGGACACAGGGGCCCCATGATCCCCTATTGCCTAGGGGCCCCATGAGATTGTCAGTCCACCCCTGCTTGCATGCTCTTTGCCATCCTGATTCTGTTTTGCATTAATAATTTTAACTTTGCGCCTATTAGTAAACAGAAAGTTAAAATTCTTCCCTGTCTGATAATTTATCTATTCTGTTAAACTACCATTATAGAGTAACAACACCATGAATATGGATAATAAAGTAATAGTAGTTTGAAGTAGATAATTCTGCCACATAAGCCACATTTTGTATAGAAAGAACTATATTTCATTTTATAGGATTACTATTAATACAGTATGTTCATTTATAAATATTATTTTTGTATTTGAGGACTGCCCTTTTTGCAGGCTCCTTTTTTTCATATGTTGGATAGATGTCCTTATTCCTAGAGAGGAGTACATGGTGTGCAGTACCTTTTTTTAACTTCTCTGATATCCCCAAAATAGGATGAGTCTAGTCTATTTGTATCCCATAGGACCCATTTAATGTTGAATAGCTTTGATGAGGGGAATCATTTCACTGTGATATCCTCAGGGTAGCAACTGGAGACTATGTACTAATATCAATTAAGACTATTTAAGATACATTGCATGTTTTTTTCATCTTTGTGCAAAAAAATCCAAATAAAAATTGTGAAATAATGTAATTCTCTCCCAAAGACATTGGATATACTGTATAATAATCCTACAAGCAGAGGGTATGATACAGGTGGATTCAGGTGAATTTAAATTTATGATTTAAAAAAATATAATTCAGGACTAACCTTCTCATTCAACATTTAAATATGTTCACCAATGCCTAGTACAAGAAAGCTATCGTTTTATAACCAATATCATAATTAAAGTGTAATTCCAGTCAAATTCAAACTAAGGCTAAACCTACTCCCACCCCCATTCCAAGACTATTCTATGTACCCTGTGAAAGAAAGATGTCTATATTTACCACTTCTGAAGCCACTCTGGTCCAGTCACATGATTGGGTCCCAGCACTGGAGTCAATGTAAAGAAGGGACAGTCAACAACAGATGTCCCATAGTAAGCTGCCTTTCTTGTACACTGAAGTCAGCGCTGGGACTCAATCATGTGACTGGACTGGAGCAGCTTCAGAATAGGTAAGTATAGACATCTTTTCTTTGACAGGATAGAAAGAATAATCTTAGAATTGGGGTGAGAGTAGGTTTTTAGCCTTAGTTAGAATTTGACTGGAATTACATGTTAATGTTATACTAAGCAAAGTGTGAGGCATTTTTTTAAGTGAATTTATAGGGCGTTATTTACTAAAACTGGAGAATGCAACATCTGGTGAAGCTCTGCATAGAAACCAATCAGCTTTCAGGTTTTATTGGCAAAGTATAACTGAAGAAGCTGAAGTTAGAAGCTGACTGGCTACCATGCACAGCTGCACAAGACTGTTTTAGCAAATCTCCCCCTCTGTCTTACAAGACTGTGTGAATAAATATTGGAATGTAAATTTCCTCTTCCTCTTTTTTCTTTTCTCTTTTATGATATATGTATTATAGTTATTTTTTTGTTGTCATCTATAGATCTGAATGTATGTGGATGTGTTTCAAACATTATCCAAATACAGTCTTTGCAACAGAAATGTCTTCTGTAAAGTTTAATGTAAAGTTTAGGTGGATACAAAAAATGTGGGGAAATACAGTGAGAGCACTATAATTTATATTAGGAAAATTAAAGGGTATTCTACAATAATGTTACATATTACAATAAAAATGCAATTGAAATCACTTGGCATAATTCCAGTGCATGATTGCAGAAAAAATGTCAAGTTCTACAAACAGGGTCAGCCAATGGGCACTGCTTGGAGCCAGGAGACATATTAGTGTATGAAGAATTTGCATTGTATCAAGAAGTCAGAATCTTTTGCACAACAAGCATATTCTCTCCTAAGTGGCAAACTGAATGCTCTGCCTAATGGAATAGAATGCTTTGCAGTTGCTATGTAGTTTCCATCAGGTAAACATCTAGGGCCTGGAATCACACAATTATATCAACAATTCATCACACTATTTACCTCTAATAAAACCTATGGTAAAAAAAAAAAACAGTGTCAGGGGAACTGGGTTCATTAAATCAATGCAAAGAAAAATGATATAGTGAATAATATAGTGATTTATAAATGTGATAGTATAGTGACAGCAAGAGTTAAAGGTAACATGTTTTGGAGTTGGGTTAGTTTAAGTATTAAAGCATATTTGCACATGTAGTCAAATTTGAGAGGACCTCACTATATTTTTATACTGGTCAGTGGCCAATAACACACCTCATGTATTAGAGTGCCCTCAGTTGAGATGAATGACCACAGGGGCACCTTTGGGCATCGGCATTTTCAGTCTGGGAGGAGGGGAATGTTAGGTGTACTAGCATATTTAGATACACTAACAAATTTAAACACAGCACATGACAGATTGCACTGTAGTGCAGCCCCTAGGGCGTGAAAAAGGCCTGTGTGCCTAGGGCCTGTAGTTGCTCCTGCTTGGCCGTCATTTGTATATAGGCCAGGTGGTTAAATTGTATCTAAACCCAAGGACAACAAATGTAATTTTGCAGCCTATCAATCAGATATTTTGGCTACATTAGTTTTCTTTTCTCAGCCTTTTTTCCCTTTATTTTTACTTAGTGATCCTCTCCTAGGGTGAAAGATGAGGGTGAAAGATGTAATCACCATACTGCATTTATGAAAGAGCAGTATTATCACCCTGGTTAAGGACAATAGTATACCTTTCCCTCTCATCTTCTCCATAATATATGGAGGAGGTGTTCTGTAGTTGAAAGAGATTGGGAACAATGCTAACTGATAAAGGTCAGAGGAGACAAAGAGCACAGTAAGTTATTAGTACACAAGACTTGTTTCAGAATCAACAAGTATTTATTTATTTGTTTGTTGGTTTGTTTGTTTTTTTTTTGGCACCAAACAGATATTGCAAAACACATTCAATTTTTAACAGACCGAAAAGAAGCAATTAGGATAAGATCATTGTTTTACATACCCCTTTTTTGCCATGTCAGGGTTGTATTTTTGCATTCTGGGATTGCACCAGAATAGGCTGATCCATAATCCATGTATATCCATGGTAGAACAAAGATTTATCTGGACAAATTAATCTGTTGAATCTGGTGAACAAGTAAGATGGTCTTTCTGAGCTCTCAGCAGATCGTCAACACTACAAGGAAAATCAGGCTGTGGTCCCTGTCACCTCTAATCAGCAGCACCTAGACTCTAGTGAGGATCTCACTTTTATTTATTGGAAAAAAGGTAAGGAAATGAAAGGGCTGAATTCCCCCCCCCCCCCCCCCCCCCCCCCCCCCTTCACTATTGTCCTGATGATGAAGTACTTTACATCCTTATTAGGGTGTGACCTAAGGAAGTATAGTCATTCTTTACTATGACAATATCATCTCAAGCAGCAGTAAATCATGTCTCATAATCTCCTGCATCCTTTGTCAGTTTAAAACAATCAGTATTATCTCTGTGTTCTGCACACACACTATGTGATGCCACTACTCTAATAAGAAGAACTAAGAAGATTAATTCCAATGGTGGCAAATCTTCCCCTGTAATGCACTACACCCTCTGCCAGTTATTAAAATCAGGATCCTCCCTGTGTTCAATGTAATATAGACTAAAGAGATGTGCATGGGTTCCTTGAGAAAAGTGCATGAAAAAAACCCTTTATTAGCTGATTGCAAAGTAGACTCTAGTGTGCCCAATTGCTGGTACAGTACATTTTCTGAGATTTACTATTTGATCTACTGCTGGCAGTCTTTCTAAAGTGATTTTTGGAATTACATTGACTAGCATCAGCAGTAATACACTAAAACTGTTGCGTTAGTAAGTAGGATGCAAATATGATTCACCCATGTACACATATAATTACAAGCTATAAACAAGATCCAGCTGCATAACTAACAGTTACCTAAAATAATTTACATGAAGAAAAAAGAAACAGAAAGAATAGAAACCAGATAAGTACCTGTTAAGTTTAAAGTAAAATCAAGTACCTACCATATGACTTGCCAGGACAGGTGTATAGACTGTGGCCCAATCTCTCTGTACACGATTTCCAAAAACAAAAAGTAGAAATTAGACTTCTAATGTTAGAAAACAAAGCTGAAAGAAAAACCGATTAAAAGAAGAAACAAGCACAAAATGTCAAATGAATAAACAGAAAAAGACAAACTGAAATTAGAACAGAGGAATAAATCAATGAAAAGCAAAGTAAACTAAGTAAAAATTAAAATATAGCAGGGAAAAAATTAAGGTACATATGAACCCTCCAGTTTAAAAGAGAAATACAAGGCAAAACATGTGTCTACATATGTATAAAAATATATAAATACCTTCTTTTCTTTTTTTGTGTAAGTGATCACATGACCTATAATTTCTGCTGCATAATGGGCTTAGAGAGCTGCGGGCAGAGTCTTTTTCTGACAATGGGAGAGGGGTGTGGAAACAGCAGCTTGAAAGGAGCACAGGCAAAGTCCTGTGTAAAATGCAAAGACAGAAATACACTGTCAGCATGAGAAAAATAAACAACAGTACACTGATTTTCCCAGTGAAGAGCTGTGCAGGGGGACATTTCAGCAGAGGTTTAAACACTGGAGTACAGTGCTCCACCCAACCCAGGGTAGTTCAGCTCATCACTACTCCCAAGCAGAATGCAAAGAAGCATACTGACCTTGTTGGGATTGATGTGTTTCCATGACTGGAGTGGTCATTTCAAAATGGGAAAGTAGGAGCACTGGCAGGATCACCAGCTACTGTACACAAAGAATGGCATGGGGTGGATAGCCGGAATTCCTATACGACTACATATATATGCAATTATACCTCAGTGCTGGGTGAAGCACTAGAGTTGTGAGTAGAATCTTATTGTTTTTAACATATAATAAAAGCACCTTACGGTTTTACGCTATGGCGTTCTTCCTTTACCTCTTTTATATGGCTTAAAATACTGTATGTGTCTGGAGAATAAGTGGAACATCTAATACAAAGAAGCGGTTGATGGTGCCATACAAATATAACAAGAGCATTATGACTTACCTGTAGTGGGTGGTCATATTAATCTGGTGAGTTCTGTGTTGTGGTGGTGTACTGGAATATCACATACTGTAAGAACACAACGTGGTGTATGTTGAGGACAGCATGGAAATGCATGTTTGTGATTGATTTTCACAGACTCATTTATGATATCCATTTGGTGGCACAGAATATATCGTTTGGTAGACTTTTTTCTCTGCATTTAGATACTGTTTAAAATAATTTTGTATATGGTTATACAGTAATTCACCATATTTTATTTTTATTTTATTTGTAGTCCACAGCACTGTGAAAAAATGTTTTACATTGGATTTTACACAAAGGAAATAATTAGAGATGAGCGAATCGAACTTGGCGAAGTGGAATTCGTTTCGAATATTAGGAAAAATTTGATTCGCACCGAATCCGAATTTTAGCAAACTTCAGATGCACGAATCGAATTTTCCCCGATCAGCCGCAAAAAGTGTCACTGCAGAGAGCTCCGCTATTTCTGACAGTTCTCTGACAGTTCCTTTACATTTACAGCGGTTGAAACATTGTATTTATTTGTTTCCATTGAGGATACAGATGTTTTTATTCGGAAACAAATAGATACAATGTTTCAACCGCTGTAAATGTGAAGGAACTGTCAGAAAACTGTCAGAAATAGCGGAGCTCTCTGCAGATACACTTTTTGCTGTACTGGAATTCTTCTTCTTTTCATTCTTCTTCTTCTTTTCATTCTTTCTTTCTTCTTTTCATTCTTCTTCTTCTTTTTTCTTCTTCTTCTTCTTCTTCTCATTCTTCTTTTCATTTTCTCATTCTTCTTCTTCTTCTTTTCATTCTTCTTCTCATTCTTCTTTTCATTCTTCTTCTTCTTCTTTTCATTCTTCTTCTTCTTCTTTTCATTCTTCTTTTCATTCTTCTTCTTCTTCTTTTCATTCTTCTTCTTCTTCTTTTCATTCTTCTTTTCATTCTTCTTCTCATTCTTCTTTTCATTCTTCTTCTTCTTCTTCTTTTCATTCTTTTCTTTTCATTCTTCTTTTCATTCTTCTTCTTCTTCTTCTTTCATTCTTTTTCATTCTTCTTCTTCTTTTTCATTCTTCTTTTCTTCTTTTCATTCTTCTTCTTCTTCTTTTCATTTCTTCTTCTTTTCTTCTTTTTTTTCTTTTCTTTTTCTTCTTCTTCTTTTCATTCTTCTTTTCTTCTTTTCTTCTCATTCTTCTTTTCATTCTTCTTTTCTTCTTCTTTTCTTCTTCTTCTTTTCATTCTTCTTCTTCTTTTCATTCTTCTTCATTCTTCTTTTCATTCCTCTTCTTCTTCTTTTCATTCTTCTTTTCATTCTTCTTCTTCTTCTTTTTTTCATTCTTCTTCTTCTTTTCATTCTTCTTTTCATTCTTCTTCTTCTTCTTCTTTTCATTCTTCTTCTTCTCTTTTCATTCTTCTTTTCATTCTTCATTCTTCTTTTCATTCTTCTTTCATTCTTCTTTTCATTCTTCTTCTTCTTCTTTTCATTCTTCTTCTTCTTCTTTTCGTTCTTCTTTTCATTCTTCTTCTTCTTCTTTTCATTCTTCTTCTTCTTCTTTTCATTTTTTTTCATTCTTCTTCTTCTTCTTTTCATTCTTCTTCTTCTTTTCATTCTTCTTTTCATTCTTCTTTTCATTCTTCTTTCATTCTTCTTTTCATTCTTCTTCTTCTTCTTTTCATTCTTCTTTTCATTCTTCTCATTCTTCTTTTCATTCTTCTTTTTATTCTTCTTCTTCTTTTCATTCTTCTCATTCTTCTTTTCATTCTTTTCTTTCATTCTTCTTCTTCTTCTTTTCATTCTTCTTCTTTTCATTCTTCTTCTTCTTCTTCTTTTCATTCTTCTTCTTCTTCTTTTCATTCTTCTTTTTTTCATTCTTCTCATTCTTCTTTTCATTCTTCTTCTTCTTCTTTTCATTCTTCTTCTTTTCATTCTTTTCATTCTTCTTCTTCTTTCTTCTTCTTTCTTCTTTTCATTCTTCTTCTTCTTCTTTTCATTCTTCTTTTCATTCTTCTCATTCTTTCTTCTTTTCATTCTTCTTTTCATTCTTCTTCTTTTCTTCTTCTTCTTCTTCTTTTTCATTCTTCTTCTTCATTCTTTTCATTCTTCTTTTCATTCTTCTTTTCATTCTTCTTTTCATTTCTTTTCATTCTCTTCTTTTCATTCTTCTTCTTCTTCTTTTCATTCCTCTTCTTCTTCTTTTCATTCCTCTTCTTCTTCTTTTCATTCTTCTTCTTCTTCTTTTTCATTTTCATTCTTCTTTTTTCTTCTTCTTCTTTCTTTTCATTCTTCTTCTTCTTCTTTTCATTCTTTTTTCTTCTTCTCATTCTTCTTTTCATTCTTCTTTCATTCTTCTTTTCATTCTTTCTTCTTCTTCTTTTCATTCTTCTTCTTCTTCTTTTCGTTCTTCTTTTCATTCTTCTTCTTTTCATTCTTCTTCTTCTTCTTTTCATTCTTCTTTTCATTCTTCTTCTTCTTCTTTTCATTCTTCTTCTTCTTTTCATTCTTCTTTTCATTCTTCTTTTCATTCTTCTTCTCATTCTTCTTTTTCTTCTTCATTCTTCTTTTCATTCTTCTTTTCATTCTTCTCATTCTTCTTTTCATTCTTCTTTTTATTCTTCTTCTCATTCTTCTTTTCATTCTTCTTCTTCTTCTTTTCATTCTTCTTCTACTTCTTTTCATTCTTCTTTTCATTCTTCTTCTTCTTCTTCTTCTTCTTCGTCGTGCCCCGTGACTGCCCAAATGAGTGAAGTGTGCGGTGATTCTAAGATCGACGGCACTCATCTGCATGTCATACTGACTGACAGTATTATTTCTCTTCCTCAGCAGACTCCTAGGGCATTTAAATTAAAGGTACAGTGTTCTGCACTAATATAAAGGCTCTCTGAAGCCTAGAAACCCTTTAATAATAAGTTAAATTCGCAGCGAATAAATTCGCATCGAATCAAATTTCTCCCGCAAATTCGGCGAATCAGCCGAATCGAATTTTTGAATAATTCGCTCATCTCTAGAAATAATGCAAAGAGTACAGCATACTTTTCAATACAAGTACATAGTACACCAGACATTTATCAGGATTATGAAATGTTGGGGTAGCATACAGTTTAATAAACATTATGTTTACCTTTAGAAAAGGCACACATCTCCACCTGTAGAGCAATCATTATTAAGTCCTTCTCCAGTAAGAACACCAAGGTGTTTCTTAACAGTAGGGGATCCACAGGTGAGGGAGCTTTCCTCCAGATGGATCATGAATCATTTCAAAGGAAAAGGAGAAGAGAGGAGAGGAAAGGAAAGGAAAGAAAAGGAAAGGAGAGGAAAGGAGGGGGGGGAGGGGGGAGGGGAAGGGAGGGGATGGGAGAGGAGAGAAAAAAGACTCTAGCATTTTATTACTTCAGCTCCAACCACCAATACTGGATCTTATACACCATGTTCTTGGTTGCAAGCCCCAGAAACTTTGTGCTTTGTCCTCAAACTGATCTGCGTGGTGACAAAATTTGATAAAAAAAAAACATAAAATAGCATGAAACAATCTATAAATGATATACAGCTATAAATGATTCCTACTCTGAATGATATAGGGTTGTCAGTGGTGTACCCCAAGATTCAGTGTTGGGACCCATACTTTTTAATATATTTATAAACGATATAGGGTCTGGGATTAAAAATCCCATTTCAGTCTTTGCAGATGACACCAAGCTGTGCAGTGTGTAACGTCCTTACAGGATGTCTCCAATTTACAAGCTGACCTCAATGCACTGTTTGATTGGACAACTGCGTGGCAAATAAGGATAAATGTTGATAAATGTACATTTATGTACTTGGGGGCTAAAAATATGCATGCATCATACATACTAGGGGGGGTACAACTGGGGGAATGAATGGTGGAGAAGGATCTGGGTGTTCTGGTAGACCGTAAACTTAATAATGGCATGCAATGCCAAGCTGCAGCCAAGAGAGCAAAATCCTTCCTTGTATTAAAAAGAGAGAGAGAGATAATTTTACCCCTGTACAGATCATTAGTAAAACCTCATCTGTAATATGCAGCTCAGTTTTGGGCATTAATTTACAAAAAGGATATTGGAGAACTGGAGAAAGTGCAGAGAAGGGCAATCAAACTGATAAGAGGCATGGAGGAGCTCAGCTATGAGGAAAGATTAGCTGAACTGAATATACAGTATTCTCTCTTCAGAAGAGGAGATTAAGGGGGTATATGATCAACATGCATAAATAAAAAAGCGGTCCATATAGTGGACTTGGTGTAGAGTTATTCACATTAAGGTCATCACAAAGGACAAGGGATCATTGTTTACATCTGGAAGAAAAAAGATGTAATCTCCAAAAATGAAAAGGCTTCTTCACAGTAAGAGCTGTGAAAATATGGAATAGACCCCCTCAAGAGTTGGTTCTGACCAGCTCAGTAGATTGTTTTAAAAAGGCATGACTTCTTTCCTAATGCACATAATATCACTGGATA